ATTTTAATGGGACACCAGATTCCTCACTTTGGCCCTCAGGCTTTCAACATAGATTCTTTATCTTTGGTGGCTGTTTTCACACCGGGATCCAATCCACCTGACAGCTCTGGTCTGGCTGTCCCATGACCTTAACTAACATTTACTACTCTGGGGGGGAAGGAGAAAGGAAGAGAGAAAAGCAAAAGAGAGAAAGGGGTGGGGGCTGAGGAAATGGAAAGATTTTTAGGTTACAATTTTTATCACAACCAGCTAATTTTACACGAACACAAACTCCAATAAACTTAAAATTGTAATGCTTCATTCACATCATGCTAAATTAATTTTTGGTTAAATCAGTGACTATAGATCCAGTTTTATTATTTTTATACAATATTATTTCCCTATAGACTTCCAGATATTTACATATTTTCTTTAAGCCTTTTCAGCACATATCATCTTATTTAATCTTTGCAGTTACCCTGTTAAGTTGAATTTTTTAATTCTGTGGCCAAGAGAGGTTAAGGGACTAGCCAAAGGTCACAAATCTAGTGCAGGGTTGGAATCTGGACATACTGACTTTCGATGGCTATAGAGCACCTATGTTTCGATATTGAATAGATCCAGGTAGATTTTTCTACAGACAAAACGTTTTACTACCTCAAAGGAAAATGATCCATCGGCATTTCTGAGACCCAGGTGTGTGGCTCTTCAGCGCCTTTTCCACTGGGTCATCAATTTCCACGGCTGTCAGGGCACTCATGTAAATAACTACCCAGAGTGGTTGTTCATTTCTTACAGCAATGTGTGGAGGTGATGTTCATTTGTTCTCATTTGTTCATTCATTCATTCTTTTCTCCAACAGCCCATGAAGAAGAACCACTATAGTGTTAGCTGTAATGGGCAGAATGGCCTTCAAGTCACCCTCCCTGTGGCCTAGCACTTGGAGATGGTCACTTAGTAGGTCCTCACATCTATATGGGGGTGATTAAAGAATATTCTAAGTTAACCGGTAGTTTGGGGTATAAGTACATGCAAACATTTTAAAAATTTTAATTTTTGTCTTTTGGGGACTCTGTGTTATTTGCGTGTGTGAATATTGGCTTTTAGAAGTCATACATGCTCACTGTGGAATATTTCAACACTATAGACATATGTGATGCAGACAGTGGGAATCCAGTGATTAGGAACCACCCTTGTCCTCAAAACTGGAGAAGGCTACTGCTAATCCTTTTACTGTATGCATAGGACAACATGGTATGTACTGTATTTTTATAGATGATGTCAATGTAAAATAGCATGAATCTTGTTCTGAATGTCAACTTTTTTCTTTGCATAATTAAGTGTATTTAAAATGATTTAAAATAAATTATGAGTCATATCTCAGCCTTTCTTAACCAGTGGAATGAAATGTGATGTGTCAAATTTGAGTTAAATCCATATTCTCTGTGGATGTGCTTTTGACTTGCACAAAACGAAAAGCAGGCAGGCAAAAGTGAGACAGTTTCACACACTGTATTGACATTCAACAATGAGAAGGTCAGAGTAGGGAGTTGATGTCAATATGTTCATCCTGAACTGCAATAAAGCTGTCCCGGCAACTGCAATCCCAGCTGCCATCTCCCCTCCTTTGGGCAAGCAATGCAGAACTCAGACCCTCAAATCTTTTGCTGTAAAAACACCATGCTTTAACAAAGGGTTGGTTTTCAATATCAATATAATCTAGATTTCAAGTTTTAAAGACAAACTTAAAATTTCCACACCAGATACAACTTTATTTATCAAAAACAGGAAGAGATGACACCTGAGATTTCTGCCACATGAAAATTATAATTGCACGACTCATCATTCTGAGTATTATAAAGTGAGTTTAGCTCTCCATTTTGTTTTTAAATATTTTATTAATACTTGGGATGCTTTTCTTGAGGGTATCACTAGCAGTTTTAAATGTTGGGAAAATGTATTTCCTCTACCTCCTTTTTTTGCCAAAGAGAGAGTAGACACAAGTCACAAAAAAAATGGTAACACTTCACTGTAACACTGTGCTATATATATTCCATTTTCTATCAGGGAAACTACCTTAGAATGGGCAAAATCCACGTGCATAATCATCCTCCCACAGATTAAAAATGTTCTTCAGTTTGTAGATTTGGCAGCAAAGAAACAGTAAAGTGGGGGAAAGCAGGGCTTTTTAGGGCCTATGTCCTGGAGACACTTTTCCTATGGTAAATGAGCCCAGAACCAATGTTCATTACTGATATTTCTGCTCCCAACTGGTGACACCAAAGCCTGGTGACAAATGAGCCCTCCTGAAGACAGGAAAGGATTGAAGGAATCAGAAGGAGGAGTCCACAATGACCTCAGCCACCACAGGGCCTACATATTTTAAATCTCCCAGACCTACTAACTGTCTTGCTAAAATGTCAATTTAGGGAAAAGTAGAGAATTTAAAAAATTAAGAAACTGTTTCACAAGGCAGTTCCTATCTATATTCAGTATAACCCAATTTAAAATTTATATTGGTTTTTCCATCCGTTCCCTGAGTGCTTTCACAGAGTGGCCTGCCAGAGGCCATTAGCACACAGCCTCGTAAATGGAGAAGCAGCAGCATTCTGATTCACCTGGAGCCAGACTGGCACTTGCACTCATTTGGGGATTGGCAAGCTTTTCTACACTGAGTTGCGGTCACTTTCCCTCAGATAGGACCTGGGGAGCAACCTGAAGGGATTACAATAAAAAAAATTCACATCTTTGATGTTAGGTGGGATATGCAAATTCGAATGAGAATAGGGTGCCTTAGCACTGTCAGAGTGTGCTGCGTTTTATTTGGGAAATGAGACAAAATCTTCCCATGATCAGCCACTCCATGTGACATCCCAACCCACACTCTGCTACTGACATTTTATCTCCCACTGAACAGCCCGGCTGTTGTAACATTTTCAGGATTCTTAATTTATGTCTTGCAGGATCTAAAATCAGATGGCAGGAACTTTAAGAAAATAACCAGTGTTGACAGGCACTTTATACCTCAAGAAGCTGGTACACCTTAGTTCTGCTAAACGTTGGGGAACATGCTCTACTTTCTGCTTCCAAAACATGTTCAGAAGACAGTGGGGTGGAGACAGGTAGCTGTCCTAAATGATTTCATTTCTCTTTTCGATCTAAACTCTATGAAAGACTTTTCCTTCCACTCAGTATTTGCTAGTAAGTTCATTCCCCTTTCTTGGTATGAAGGATTCCAGTTTTTAATTAGTTTAGGTTAGAGTAAGCAAGAAAAATTTATGGTAACTGAGAATCTTATATACAGCCAACAACTATGAAAAAGGGAAACGACCCAAAGGTAAGATCACCAACTTAACATAGTGTAAGCTTTGTAACTTACTGAACTGTTGATTCTCAGAACACTAGTCAGGAAAGATATGATGATGATTATGATTCCTACCTCACAGAATTGGCAAGTGAGGCTCAGAAAACGGAAATAAATAACTAGTCCCAAATCACTCAGCCTTGGAGAAATTGGGACTCAAACCCAAATCGTATGTTCTTTCCATTATATCACAATGCTGCTTTGTAAAAGCAGCAACTTTGGATTGGCTTATATGAATCTGCTGACACCTCTACTCTCCAAGGTATGGCAGTGATGAATACTTGGAGGTGTTGGGGTTAGACTTGCCAAAGACAGGATGCTGGTGTACACACTCATTCTGGAGTGCTCAGCCTTGATTCCCCTCTTCTCAGAATGGATTTATATCTATTTATCTGTAATACAGTGCTTAAGAGTACAGACTCTAAAAAAAAAGAGTACAGACTCTTGAGCCAGATGACTAGCTCTGCTGCTAATCGCTGAGCTGAGCAAGTTACTTAGCCTCTCTGGGCCTTATTTTCCTGTACTGTAAAATGGAGATGATAATAGTACCTACCTCATAGGATTGTTGTGAAGATTAAGTGAGTTTATAGAAAATGTTATATAAAGGTTAGTTACTATCATCTGTCAGTTTGCCACATGGTTTCATAAATGCATTACAAATGCATCTATAACATGTTTGTGAAAATCTATGCTTAGATGACAGTACCTTGCACATAGTGGAGCCTTAAAAGACATCTTTAAATTTACCTGAAATGAATACTAGAACTAAAAGTGGTAGTCCCAGATCTTTCAGGTTCAAGGTCCTGATTTTGCAAGTGTTTCTAGTCACCTCCCCCCACCTCATTTATCTCAAAAAGCAGAGGACAGAAAAGGATGAGTAACCACTTCCTGTAGAACTCAGATAAGAGTGAAAACCAATTCTTAGAAACCGTGCAACATTTACATCCTGGTGCCTGAAGTTTAGGTCACTATGTGTATTTCCTCTGCACAAAGCCCAGGAGGCTACTTTCATATTATTGGGGCGAAACCCACAACAGCCCTCGGTACTAAAGAGGCGGTGCTTCCAAATTTTCTTATTTGCTCCCAGTCCCAGGTTGCCAGGGGTAGCCTGGCGACCGGTCCATACTCCTGGGTACACTGAGTAAGTGTGTTTCAAGAGGTGATCAAGGTGGGGAGAAAAGAAATGATACTACCAGCAAGTAAAGTTTGATAAAGGAAGAAAAGCCCTCAAACCAACGACCACGTCGCTACCCCGCGGGACCGGCTCTCTCTGCCTGGAAAGTTGTCACCCGGCCCCAGCCTCAACCCAGCCCCGCCCCTTCTCGCCCCTCCCACCGTAAGCCCCGCCCAGAGCCCGTCCCACCTGCCCGCAATGCCTCAGCCGCCGAGTTTAGTCCGCGGGGCGCTTGCGCGTTCCTTGAGGCGTCGTGGCACTGCCCAAATACAAATGGGGGAAAGAAGGAACTTCATATTTTCCAAAGACCCCGCTAGAGCGGCTTTCTGTACTTAGAGCTAGTTTTGTATTTTAAGGTCCTGAGAAATCGGCTTCTGGTTCCCCGATGTGGCGTCAGAGTACATGTTTTAAATCAGGCAATCTTCAGGCAGCCCAGCTCCTGGAGCAGGGTCCTTGCGCTGAGCCTTGGGACCACAACCGGGGAGGCGGGGTCCTTTTCTGGGGCGGTCGCGCAGGTAGCGGACGCGAAAAGTCGGACTCCGAGAGTCATGTACTACAAGTTTAGTGGCTTCACGCAGAAGTTGGTGGGAGCATGGGCTTCGGACGCCTATAGTCCGCAGGTACGGGTCGCGCCGTGCCAGCTTGGACGGGAGGAGTGGCTGCCCGAGCTCCCACGCCGGGCAGTCGCGGCATTGGAGCCCGGAGAGGCTTCTGCCTGCAGCTCAGTTGGTTTCGGTTCGCCTCGCACCTCCCGCCGCCTCTCCACACCAGCTCACTGTGGTCATCGAGACTCCTCTTTGTGTAGTTGCTCTCTTGGCGGGACTGGCCCAGCATGGAAGTTCGGTCTGGCTTTCTGTAGGGGTCAAGGTGACCCCCGGGATCGTTGCTTGTCTAAGAGGGATGGCTCGTGGGGTCTGTGGGGCCCAGAAAGTGACCCATCTTGAGTCCGAGATTTGGCTCTTTCCTTCTTTCTTTGAAGAGGTCCGGCTTTCGGCCTCTTCAGCGTCCCTTTGTCACCCCCTGCCACAGCCCCAAAGTCAGCCTTACCTAAGCACGAGATTGGAGAGCGGGGATGACGGCACCTGCGGAAGTCATGGGGTGGGAGGGGCTGTATGATCCGGATTGGGAGACTTAACGGGTTCCTTCAAATGTCCGGGGAGCCTGGGAAGTTACCTGCAACAAGGTTATACTTTCCCAACTGTAAAATGGTTGACAGATGCCTATTTTTTGGGTGGTCTGAAAAGTATTCCGATTTCACTCAGATTCTACCAATTGGAGTCTTTTTTTTCTTTTTTATTTCAGCATATTATGGGGGTACGAATGTTTAGGTTACGTATATTGCCCTTGCCCCACCCAAGTCAGAGCTTCAAGCGTGTCCATCCCCCAGACGGTGCGCACCGCACCCATTAGGTGTGTATATACCCATCTCCTTCTCCCCTCTCCTATCTGCCCGACACCCAATGAATGTTACTACTATATGTGCACTTAAGTGCTGATCAGTTAAAACCAATTTGATGGTTAGTACATGTGGTGCTTGTTTTTCCATTCTTGGGATACTTCACTTAGTAGAATGGATTCCAGCTCTATCCAGGATAATACAAGAGGTGCTAGATCACCATTGTTTTTTGTGGCTATAGAACTCCATGGTATACAATCTCTAGCTTGTGTGTTGTAAAGATGGGGGATTTTAGAGCCTCAGAGAAATTTGGGCTCCAAACTTGGCTTTTGCTGCGTTAATTGTGTAACCTTGGCTAAGTTAATTTATCATGAGCTTAGTTTCATTCAGGGCAGCTTCAGTACAGATTAAATGAGGTATGTGTCAAGTGACTAGCAGTTTTGGCAGGTAATTGGTTCTGGATGAGTGTTAGTTATTCTCCGTAAGCCGAGTGTGAGGTAACATCGTAATCATCTCTCATCCTCACAGAGTAGTGTGGGCGGGATCAATGAGATGCAGCTGGACTAGATTAGTAAGCCGCCCAGGTGGGCTCCATTATTGTTGTCTCCATTTTCTGTGGGACACTGCACCTTGCTCAAGGGGAAGATGTTTAAGAATGATTTCAATCTAGGATAAGGAGGGCAAGTTTTTTTCAGGTGTGGGGATGGGGAAGAAGAATTTAGGGTTTGTAAGTGTTGAGCTTGTGTTGACGTGTCATGCCTAGTAGCAGCTGGGTTTTAGATACAGTTTAATAGAGAGATGTGGTCATCTTCAGCCCATAGGTGGTGGTAGAGTCTGGTGGAGCGATCACACAGGGAGTATATAGGAAGAAATGTGGGACCATAATTACTTTATAGAAACATGAAGGGAGGATGGAGAAGGAAAATTTATCAAAAGAATAGTCCAGGATTAGAGGGAAACCAGCGTGGTGTCTTTGAAACCAAATTGTTTATGAGTTGTAAGGAAGGAATTGAAGGAATTGTCAGCAGTGTTACAGTAATTTCTTTTATAGGTTATGTGGGAAAACAGCCATTTCTATAATATCTGCTTCTATACACTTTATTTTTCAGTGCATGGATCTTAAATGCTACAGTTTGATGAGTTTTGAAAAACACATGCATTGTGTGACTCCTACCCCTATCAGTGTACAGAACATTACATCATCCCTAGGAAGTTTCCCTTCTACCCTGTCAATCCCTGTCCACCTTCCTATTCTGACTTCTGTCACTGTAGATAGTTTTGCCTATTTTTGAGCTTCATGTAAATGAAACCACACAGTGTGGACTCTTCTCTGTAAGGCTTCTTTTTCTATATATAGTATTTTTGAGGTTCATCCATGGTACGTGTACCCATAGTTAGTCCCTTTTATTGCTCTGTAGGGTTTAATTGTATGATTATATCACAATTTATCTATTCTGGTGTGGTAGTTGTAGATGATTATTAGCATAATCTAGGTTTTGTTGCCTAGTAAGGAAAAAATAAAATTTTGGTCTAAAAACTGACATATTGGAATAAAACTGGCACTCAGAGTAGAGATTACCTTGACATGTGTTTGATATAGACAGGGCTTTCAGATTTCTAGCACCTTTTGAATTGTGTTTCTCTTGAGAATTCAAACTTCTTAGTTAACTTAAAGATTGCTTAAGTTATGTTGAAAGAAGTGATATTGTGTGGGCTTTATATGAATTGTAAATTTCAGAGACATTGTGACAGGCACCCTTTCAACTAGGTGCTTTGACTTTCATATTAATAATTAGGAGTACTTCAACTTTTCCTTTCTTGGCAACATTAGCACACTGTAAAATGAAGATGTTTGTAACTTTCAGTATTAAGTGAATAACCTAACATGCATTAAATAACCTAATATGGAAAAGCTGGTTCTGTAATAATAGCACAAGTAGAGATTTATAAGTCAACTTGATGGCAAATAGTTGTTTGGAGAGTATTTTCCAGTGGTTGATTGAAAAGCATTTTTCTAACCTTTCTGTGTCCTGTATCAAAAATAAATTGAGGCCAATAAGCACATGAAAAGATGCTTACCAGGCTGGGTGAGGTGGCTCATGCCTGTAATCCTGGCACTCTGGGAGGCTGAGGTGGGAGGATTGCTTGAGCTCAGGAGTTCAAGACCAGTCTGAGCAAGAGTGAGACCCTGGCTCTACTAAAAATAGAAATATTAGCTGGGTGTCACGATGCGCGCGTATAATCCCAGCCACTTGGGAGGCTGAGGCAGGAGGATCGCTTGAGCTCAGGAGTTGGAGATTGCAGTGAGCTATGATGATGCCACTGCGCTCTACCCAGGGCACAGAGCCAGACTCTGTCTCAAAAAAAAAAAAAAAAAGATGCTTACTATCTTTAGTCATTAGGGAAAAGCAAAGCAAAACTACGGTGAGATACCGTTACTCATCTGCCAGAATGGAATGCCTGTACTCAAAAAGACAAATATTGGTGAAGATGTAGAGAAACTGGAACCCTATTACATACATTTCTGGTGGGAATGCAAAGTAGTGCAGCCACTTCAGAAAACTAAGTTTGTTAAAAAGGGAAACATTACTTTACTATAGTAAAGTTCAGCAGTTCTTCTCCTAGTTAAGATGGCAGAACGATAGTCTAGATAAAGGGACCTGTGATACGGAGGAAGGTCGGGGAGCTGGAGGAGAATCATGGAACAGGTTAAGTTTGAGTGTGGAGGACCGAGATAGATCAGGAAGGGCCTAGGATAGTAGGACTTAATTTTGTGAGAAATGAGTACAAAGTTACAGAGCAACTTGATGCAGAAAGCTTTGGCAGAGTTTGTCCTCTCCAGTGAGAGAGATTTTGGGGACCAGGAAGGACTCCAGGATGACAGGCGAATGGGAGAGTGGTGGTGCTTTTCACAGAGACAGGGACTTCCTGAGTGAGCCTGTGAGTGAATTTTGGACATGCCAAGTATCAGGTATCCGAGGGACTTGGAAATGATGATATCTAGCTTGCAGTTAGAAATGACTTGAATCATTGCAGATTGAAACTGGTTTCCAGTTCTAAATCAGAGTGAAAGGGGTCCTAGGTTTCTGTCCTTTAAAAATTAAAATTGTGGGAGATAATTCTGTTCTTTTTCCACCCTCCTCCCCAAACCTAAGAGGTAGAAGAAAAGGAAAACTTTGGGGCAGTCAATCAATTTTGGAGGTAGGAGAGTCAATATTAAAAAGTAAAGTCTGATTTTTACTTGATCTGTGGTCCACTTATTTTAAGAACAGCTTTCAGTTGTTCTCTCCTTGCTTTGGGAGGTGTGGAGTCTCGGCCATCAAGTGCTGATTTATGTAACTTTGGTTCTGAAATGTTCAGGTCTACGTTGTGTGGAAGCTGTAGCCTTCCTTAGCTTATTTGTATGTTCAACAAATATTACTGAATGCGCTCTCTATGCCAGTTGCTTTTCTAAGTCTTGGGAAGTAAGAGCAGCGAACAAAACATGTCAAAATCCTGTGCTCATGGGGCTTCCATTCTAGTTGGGAGAGACACACTAAACAAAGTAGAATATAGATGGTATATATAGTGTTAGATGGTAGTAAGTGCTGTGGAGAAAAATAAGGCAGGAAAGGGGGATAGGTTGTTAGTAGGGTAAGCGGGAGGACATGCATTTTTAAAAAGGGTGGTCAGAAAAGTCTCACTGAGAGGGTGACATATGGACAAAGACCTGACAAAGGTAAGAAAGAGTGCAAGCCATGTGGATACCTGGAGAAGAGCATTCTAGGCAGAGGGAACATACCTGTGTCTGGAGGTTTAAAGAGCTGGTTCAGTGGGCTGGGGAGGAGGAAGGGAATGAAATCAGGGTGAAGAGGGGGATGCATCTAGTAGAACCCCGAAAACCACTGTAAGAACTTTGGGTGTTGCTCGGTGAGATAGGAGGCCGTTGGGAGGGTTTGAGCTCAGTTGCAGCATTCTCTGTTTTAATACAATCACTGACTGTTGTATTAAGAGTAGACTGCAGGGCACCCAGCAAGGGTGGAAGTGGGGAGACCAGCTGGGAGGGCTGTCGTAAAAATCCAGGGGCTTGGGCTAGAGTGTGGATTGGTGGAGATAGGTGAGAAGTGGTCAGATTCTGAATATATTTTGAAGGTAGAGCCAAAAGGATTTGCAGTGTGTGTGTGAGAGATGTCAAGAATAATTCCAAGGTTTGGCCCGAGTACCTGGAAGGATGGCATTGTAATT